TATATATCATAAATTGTCATTAACACTTGCAGCTACGACTAGTTTCACTGTGACGTTTACAATAAAACAAGTACAAACGCAATTTGACAAATGTGAAATAAAATCTATAAAATAATTTAGACAGAAAAGATTAAAACACACAAACTTCAGGTTGATATTTGGCTTCACGACAGAACAATTGTGACTCAGACTGACACTGATTCACCGGAGTTTCTTTTTATAGATGTGAACCAACATTTTAAAGCGTAATAAAATGAAGTCGGTGTTTTGCTGCAGACGTGAACACAGATGGATCCAGTGTGAACAGGTTGTGTTTCTTATGATCACACTTACACCAGTGGCGTCTGGACGCTCTCCTCTGGATGCGGCAGCTCTTGATTCTGCGAGCGGCGGCTTTGTGGAGGTACACAGCGTTTTTCATGATCGCTGGAAGCTTCGCCTCGATCTCTGCTGCACAGATACACTCCTCAAAGAACCCTGGACACACACACACACACAGATACATCAGTGTGATATGATAAATAATGTAATACACTTTCTGTCCAGATAGAGGCAGTCACAAGAGTGTGTGTGTGTGTGTGTGTGTGCGTGTGTGTTCATCTGTTAGAATAAAAGTGTTGTAAGAGTTCAGGTGTGTATTTTATGTATTTAACAGGTAGATGCTGAAAATATTGTGAACTACACAAACTCTGACAGAGTAAAATAACGTGACAGACGTGGAGACGAGAGGGTTCGAGTGATGCACTCACTCCTCAGATGAGTCACGTCCCCCTTCATCTTCTCGTCTCGCTCTTTGGTTCGCTCCAGTGAGTTCAGGCCTTTCTCCAGATCCTGCAGAGCCTCCTCCGCCTGCTGCAGCCTGTGCTCCAGCTCCACCCGAGACTGGATCTCCGCCTGAGACACACACACACACACACACACACACGAACACACACACACACACACACACACACACACACACACACACGTGCTCCTTAAATCAGTCCATGTTCTTGATATGATGAAGTTAAAGATGAGTCATTTTTCTGGATCTCAGTGGAAACCTGCTGATTTTGAATTATTCTGTGGGAAATGAGTGAAAAGTTAAAATCTCATATTAAAGAAAAGTGAAAAACTGTTTTGAAAAACAATCCAGTGAAACCATGTTTGCAACTGAATGTGCCGACCTCGTGCTGAGTCTTGCTGAGTCATGCTGCGTTACCTTGAGCTCGGCCTCAGTCTGCTGTTTGTCCACAGTGAGCTGAGAGAGCGACTGCTGCAGCGTCTGGGCCTGAGACGAGTAGAACTCCCTCTCCTGCTGCAGGTCTTTGGCTCGCTGATCGTTCTCCCTCAGCCTGAAGCACAGAAACAAACGTGCAGCACGTCGCCTGGATTTAAAAACCTTTTCCAAACTCCGTCAGATTAAACTCATGCTGCTTTGTTGCAGAAATAACAACAGAGAATTATTAATCACTTAATTTTGCATTTGTGAGACACTTAAATAAATAGTTTGACCTTTTGAAAAATACACTTGAATTAACTGTACTGCCACTTCTGCAACTTGTGAATTCTGTGTCTTACTGTTCTTTTATAGTTCTATTATTTTTTTAATGTTTTTATTCTGTTCATGTTCAGCTGTAAAACCCACATTTCCTCCAATGAAGGAAGATCAGTTATCAATCTTTATATATAAATATATATGTATATAAATATCAGTCTATACACTGCAGAAAAATAAAAACCACAGTAAATTAAAATGCAATTCACATTAAATTATAATAATATAATAAATACTATCTGATGAGTTCACTCAGGTTTCTGATTGTTGTAAAATAAACACGTTTCCTCTAAATAACTGAATTTAACTGAAACGTGTGATAGAAACGAGTGAAAACTAAATCCAGGTTGAGTGTGTGAGTGTTTCTGTGGGAGAGTGTGTGGATCCTGCAGCCGCTCGTGTCAGAGGAGAAACTGATGGAAACACGAAGCTGTGAGTCGCTGCACAACGTTAGTGCTGCACAGTCAATACCTGCTGGTGGTTCAGGGATCGATGCACATTTCCACAAGTAGTTACATCCTCTGTGCCATTAGCAAGTGCTGTGAGTGGACACAGCAGAGTTTGACCCTTCAGACAAGGAAAGTTTCCAGTTGGACGAAGACGGTTTTGATCTGTGGACGTCAAAACATTCAGAAAAGCTCCAGGAGCTGAAGGAAACCCGGACTCACTTCTCGTCGGCCTGCTCCTTCTCCTTCAGCAGGATCTTCATCTGCTCCTCGATGTGTCGCAGGTCCTTCAGCAGATCTCCGTCTCCGAGCTCGTCTCCCTCCTCAGACGACTTCCTGCAGGAGCTCTTCTCTTCTTCCTCCTCCTCCTCCTGCTCCTGCTCTTTCACCCCCAGGAGCTCAAGGGTTCTCTGCTTCTCCTGAGACAGCTCCTGCAAAACAAAGCTCTCACTCTGTAAAGCTGCAGAGGAGTAAAGTGCTGCCGATCACATGTTAGACGTCATAATGTCTCATGTTTATTTAATGAACATGTTCAGTTACCATCTTAAATCAAAGTCCATTTACTGGCTTTGATGTTAAAAAGCTGCGGGAAACGCTTCAGTGTGGAAGAAGCTGGAGTTCAATTTAAATTCTGTTTTGTTTTTTCAAATTTAACAAAAAGTTAAGAAAGAGCAACACAGAAAAGATGTGAATCCTAGAAACCAACATTTTCTTTAGTGTCTAAATTGATTCTTGGTTGTGTTGGTGTCACACCAGGTTTTATTATCTTATCAAACCGACTCTGCAGGAGAATCTGCAGAACGTTTATTTGACCTTTTGTTTTCATACCTCGATGGATTTCTGCAGCATCACTGTCAAACTGCTCAGCTCCTCCTTCTCGCTCTCGACACCTTTCAGGGACTGAGTGGTTCCGTCCAGATCTCTGTCATCGACACAACGTCACGTTACGTTACAGGTTTGTGAGCGACCGGCGCTGCAGCTGAACGTGAAGAGACCAGAGGACGGTTCTTACTGTTTGATTTGTTCCTGTTCGGACTTCAGCTCCAGAACCACCTCCTCAAACTTCATCTTCTCCTCCTCCAGAACCTGGTTCAGACGCTCCAGCTCCTGCAAATGACAAAAAACATATTCGGTGTCATCACAGAGAAACTGAACGAGGAACTCAAATATTAGATCTTTACAGGAGCAAAGTGAAAAATCCCCAATTTTAAAAACTGACTCTTGAAAAGTACAAAAGTAAAAGATACTGAAATAATGAATGAATCGATCAGGGAAATTATTGATTGACAGAAAGTGAAGATTTTCTATTTTCTGTTTTATCCAGTAAAATTAAAAATCTGAAGTTGTTGTTGTTGTTGTGAGTAAACAGGTCTCACTTCTCTCTGCGCCCGCTGATGACTGAGCTCCTCAGTTTCTTCCATCAGTTTATCTGGAGAAAGAAAACAAAAGACAGTTTCACACAAACAGCTTCATGTTTGTTAAACTTCTTTGAGAGTTCACGTGTTTACCCAGATACTCCTGCTTCTCCTTCGCCAGCTGCAGCCCCTGAGCCTCCAGACTCTCGATCATGGCCTCGCCCAGCTGAGCGTTCTTCCACGTGCTGGTGAAGGTTCAGTGAAGGTTAAACACTGTGAGCATGAAACTGGAGCCACAGCCAAGAATTTCTTGCTTTAAAATGTGACTTGATCCTTTTCTGATGAGAATATTGTAAAATCAACTCGTACAGTTTGTGTGATTTGCTTCAGAAGTTCAGGATTTCTAATCACTCACACTTTCCCCGACTCCTGGAGCATCTCCATCCACTGGAGCTGCTCCTCCTCAGACTCAGCCGCCAGGACGATGGTTCCCTGAGGAGCAGATAAACAATCGTCTCGTCACTAACGTGCCGGGACTGAGAAAATAAAGATGAAGGAGCTGGCTCGTGTGTCACTGACTGATGTGTTCTTCCTTGGATCAAACCACAGTCACACAAACAACCTCCTGTGTGTTTTTATTACACGTCCACTTCTGTGTGTTTATTTGTTGTTATCCGGTGTCTGTGTCGAAAGTCTAATAAATAAACTGTGAACATCTGTGAGTCTGAGAAAATGATGAGAAGTTATTACAGTGAAATCCTCCAGGTTGATGACGATGGCAAACGGCATCCCCATGTTTTCATGAGCCGACACCACACATCCTCCGAGAGGGATCACGCCCTGAGACACAAACACATCACACACACACACACACACAGAAAAACTAAATACACAATAAAGTGATTCAGTCGAAAAACATGTTCATGAAATTACATTTTTCAAATCAAACACAAACCGACGCAGCCGCTCACCTTCGGGTGGATGTTGAAGTACCTGTTGCTGTCGAAGCTTCTCTTCTCGCTCTCGGCGTAGTAGAGCAGGAAACTGTCTTTGATGATGAAGAACCTTTGAACCGAGGAAGAGGATAAAGCAGCAGTGAGTCAAAACCTCAAGTGCAATAAAACCATATAAATGCAACGAAGTCGGATTTCTCAAAACACAGTTTTATAGTTTAAGTGGTTTTAATAATTCTTTCATCACAGTTTCTGCCTCTAACTTTAAATTTGTTCGTATTTTTTTTTTGACTGAGGGAATTTAAAGCAACACTATACGTGACTTTAACTGAGGAACAGCGCCCCCTGCAGCAACACATGGTGTCTGTCAAGCTCAGTGGATATTACCCATGATCCTCAGCTTCCTGAACCAGAAGAGCTGCTGCTGAAACAAATCCACCAAACTCCGTTCAGGCTTCTTCTTATTTCTAAAGTCTCCTGCTGAATATTGGAGACAAACTAATAACTTCTGAATCTTTTTAACTTCACAGCTGGAGCTGCCACTCAGTTCTCAGGGATCGAACCCACTCACCGAAGAAACGTTCTCCATGTTCACACTCGCTCGACCGTCAAATTCAATTGGACGCTGACATATTGAGGTAAATAAAAGTCGTAGTGTTGCTTTAAAACAATTCGGAGGGTTTGTCACCATCATCGCACTGAATCGATTTTAATCTGGTGTCTGAAACTAAAATCATAAACCCTCTGAGTCTCTGGTTTGGCACGTTCAAATTCTTTTGACCTTTATGATGGAAGCCAAGGTCACATGACTGCGCTGCAAATGGACTCTCTGGACCCCCCCCCTCCGTATTGTCACCGTTATGTAAACTAAGAGCATTATCATGACATAAGGAACCAATCCAGGCACTTTACCATCCAAATATATTCCCTCAGGATACAGTGAGGCCGCGCTGCGAAAACGTCTGAGGACAAGTTTATCCTGTCGTTACATAAAGCAATCCGCTAATACACATGTCAACAGTCTGGCTTTAGAATCCCACAGGAAGAGATGTTGATAATTCAACACGAGGAAAACAGCAAAGACATTTCAAACTGAGGCTGTGAAGCTAAATGAACGTGTTAAAGATTCTTCACACGTGTCAATAAATGTTAATTTGATTCTTTTTTAACTGTTGTTGAACATATTACAGACGATTACAACTTTTTACTTGAGGTGTTTGATTTATTTACTACAAATATTCAATGTTTTTGTGGCTGTCGGAGGAAAGTAACTTTTTTAAATTAAATAAAAATATGATTTCCTCAAAACTTAAATTTTAATGGAGGCAGGAGTTCAGCTGCACCAACCTGAAGCTCTTTGTTGGATCCAGAGGATTAAATATAAAAATGACCTCTGACAGAGATCACGCCTCACCTGCGGGACCACTTGGCCGACGGGCGTCCGAAAGGCCTCTTCCACAGGACGCCGTGCAGCTGCACTTTGGTGCTGATGTCCAGCCCTTCACTGTCCGACTGCTCCATGGACGACCAGGGCGAGAACAGAGAGTTTCTGGACGAAGACGAGAACATCCTCTCTGACAGTACCTCGCCCTGGGAGGCGGTGCAACGTGAAAAATATCAATAGAAATATAAAGCACAATAGTCAATCAATGACAATTTGCCCGATAGCACACACACACACACACACACACACACACACACACAGACACACACACAGACACACACACAGACACACACATACAGCTTCAATACAAAGCAGGAAAAGTAGCAAACAAATTCCAATAACTCATCAGGCTGGAAATATGCAGCTGCCAATACACTGATGGGCTGGAGGCAGACTGACGGCAGAGACCAGCACAGAGGAAATCAGGGATGATACAGGGAGAGAGAGGGAGGGAGAGGGATGGAGTGGAGAGGAGAGGAGAGGAGAGGTACTGGGAGTGATGGGTGAGGGAAACCTGAACCCAGTCGATACATCCCAGCCGGTAAAAGCTGTTATTCAGACATCTGTACTCACAGAAAAGGTCTCCAGCTCCTGGCAGCTCTCTGGTCTCTGCCTCCCTCCGAGCATCAGCCGTGAATCAGGGGAACATCTGTGGCAGAGCCGCGGCCGCTCGGCTCTCTAGCAAAGAGGATGGAGAATCTGAGCGGTTAACATGCAGCTTTAGAGTCGTGAGTATCAGATTAATTCACGGAACATGTGTCAGACTGGATGGACACCAGATTATAAAGATATTAACAGCTCAGCCGCTTCACAGGAACACGGGAGAACTCGGATTTTCAGTTTGCACGAGTTTAAAGAACATTTATAAATAAGGCCTCTGAAATATTATGTTTGTTGAAAATGTGGCAACAAGAAGAGTTAACATGAGTTTTCTCACCTGCTTCATATCGAGAAGTGCTTTTAATAAACCAACATAAAGTGCATTTTAGTGTTCAATCATTAAAACAAACCTCAGAATCTCCACCAGTTAAAAAACCTTTTATTTTATCGTCATAAAACACGTTGCTTTACAACTGATTTTCACAATCAGAAATATGGAAATAAGGCAGACTCATTCTGGAATGGCAGAAAATGAAATAGAATAAGGAAAAACGCCAACGGGAACAATTCCAGATATTAATCTGATCCCAAAACTCTCTGGATTCAACACGTGACGTCGTCTCTTCTGGTTTGTAAGAATCGATCGTTTTAAAAGTTCACCTGCAGATATTTTACAGTTCTGAAAAACTTTCCTATTTATCTAGATGTGTGATGAGACCTGAAACAAAGTGAATTTAACGTCTAATAAATACACTAAATATTTGACCTGACAAACAGAGGATTAAAGTACTAGTTTACATTATTTTACTTTGAAGGGCAGGTGCTAACGGCCAATCAAATCCCAGTATCTTGCATCTTTAAATTCACTCAATTAAAAAAAAAAAGTTAAACACATATTCAAAAATACAATTAAACAAACTGTCTCTGTCCTAAAACCAAGTTTGTCCTAAACATCCACTTTTCTCTCGCTTGGTGATTCAGATGATCAAAGAGGTTTTTATTTATTCAGAAACAATTAACTGGAGCAGGTTTTTAAACATCTCACTGTGGTGAATCATAGTTTATCATCTCGCTGTGTATCCATGAATGAACTTTTAACAGCTCTGATAACAAAATATAAACAGAGGTTGGATCTGATGCTTATTTTAACTTGATCTTTCAAACCTGACGATCCTTCAGCCACAGTCCTGATGAGTAATCATGTTAAACTCTTAATAAATGTGTATTAAGTCAGAATATTTAGAGAAAAACTTTGGGATAGAAGTTTGGATTAATGATGCATCGAACACACACACACATGAACAGAGAATATAACTGTTAGCTTCTTGTAAGAAGGAATCAAGGATTCCAGTTTGTGAAATGTGAGGATTTTCCGGTTTTGTGATATTTCCACCACATTAACTGAATATTACATGAATATATTTTGGTTTCTTGGACTCACAATACACCAGTGAACTCTGGATTCATTTCAGGAATTGAAAACCATGAAATCTCAGCAGGGCTTTAACTGAAATTGCACACTCATGATGTCGGACAATGTTTTTTTTTTTTTCCCTTTTGTATTTCATAAAAAATAAAACAGTCGTGCAGCTGCTGGTCTGCACGCGACTCGCCACGTTCTCTCTCTCAAACACGCCAGGAAGAGAAACCGCCACCTCTTCCTTCCTCTCGTCACTGAAGTTTAGAATTAACAAGTCGAGTTTAAGATCTTTAAATTTACACATTGAACAGAGATCGTCTGTCACCTTCTTTGTCTGTGCTGCAAACTCCGTCCCTCTCAAAATAAAAATATTAAATTAAAAGCAGTTTCATCATCTCACAGGAGATGATGATAATCGTGGAAGGAAGAAGTTGCTGTGAATAACATACATGTACAAACACATGAGCGCTGCTTGGAGCAGGATCAGTGATTCAGACTCACAACATCCATGAGTCCTGATAGAAGAGGGAGGAGCCTGCTGACGTTTGAATGCGTCAACATCAGCGGAGGGAGGCGGGTCTCTGTGTGCCAATCACATTTAAGACTCGGATGCAGTCCGGAGAAAAAAAGCGACTTTTCTTTTTTTTTTTTACATTTATTGCTCAGGTAATAATCAATAAATCTTCCAGGAGCAAACAAAATAAAAGTTTCCAAAAGAATCTGTACTATGTCCGTCCTCCTGAGCCGATGGTCCCTACGTGAGTTCAGCGAGTTAATGACCTTGAGGAACGTTCACTAGCTCATTCAGTTCTGCTGGAATCACCCTCCACCTCCACACAAAGCACACAGTCACTTTTCAATACAGAGTTTTCCTAACAACAGTTTATGATTCATCTCCAGGTAAAACAGAACAGAAATGAACACATCCAGAATCTTATCGGGTCAAATAGAAGAGTCGACCTGGTTTAAACTGGATGGACCATAAATCTGAACGTGTTCATTTGTAGAAAACACACAAGTGTCCATCAACACGCAGTTTCCCGTCAGGCCGAGAAAGTTTCTACAAACTGTTCGGCGTCATTTCATCGGGGTCTGTTTCAAACTCGCAAATATGGCACTTGGCAATCAGTTCAAATGATTCTGTATTTTAAGAGAGCTGTACAATTACACAGAATTTAAAAAAAGGTTTTCTTTCTCAGTATCACGATCTTGATCTAAATCTCACTGTGCAACAGCCGTCAAGCAAAACATCACAGAATCGAAATCAGGGTTGATTCTTTGACTTTGGACAAGCAACGGTAAAGCGACACTGAAAACTCCACAGTGACGTGAATAGACTGAGCGACTGAGTCGTCCCGTGGCCTCCGTCAGAAAAGGATCAACACGTGCAGCAGCTGAGCCACGATCGCTCGTGCGTGTCAGAAGAAAACCACCGTGTTGTGTGATTTAGTTTTCACTGCAACAACTCTCACCTCCCGAACGTCATTCACTCCCTGTCACTTCAGTTTTGAGTCATTAGATGCGCCCGAAACGAGTCTGGTCCACGAGATCCATCAGCCGACAAGCAATAAGACATTTATATCCACAAAGTTCGTTCCCCTGTACACCCGTCTGAAATCCATCCTGAGCTGGGGTCTAATGGTGGTGACCGACAGACAGCACCAGAGGAATGAGGCAGCCCAGCACCAGAGCTACCACCTCCACCTTGCTCAATCCTTTCCCTCCGTTGCCTCCCGCGGCAGCGTGGCTGTGGCCGCCGCCCCCCACCTCAGGGAGGACGTGGACGGTGGCTACGTACAGGAAGGTGCCGGCGGAGAAGAGCATGGCGACACCGGTGGCGTTGATGTCTGACAGGGCCTCTTTGCTGCTCTGAGGAGGAAAGACAGAAACAACATAAGACAAAATTTTCCACCAAGAAACGTTCAGATCAGATGTTGATGAAATGCATTTTATTTTATTTTAGCTAATGAAATTTAAAACCATCTCTAGTAAAACGGCCCTGACAAATATCTGAGATGTGAGGACAGCGGCTCTGCCCCAGGCTGAGTGACACAGTGACAAACAGAAAATACTGGTTCAGTTGCATTTTGTTGCTCTGAAGAACTTTCATACATAACCAGAAAAATCTATGAGAAATCTATTCAATGAAATAACAACGAATATTTCATGATAAAATACAAAGTGACAATTAGAAAATATAATAAATATATATTTTTTATAATAATTACTTGACTGAGGCCTAAAAATGTGAGCATGGCGAGGACAGGTGCCGCCAGGGCGAAGACCAGGAGATGTTTGCGGATGCGGTTCCTCTCAAGACCAGCATGCATCAGGAAAGACACCAGACCAAACGCTGCTGGGGCCTGCAGACGACAAAGCAGTGCAGTTCATATTGTTTTATGTTCACGGTGCATTAGATTTGCATTTTTATATTAAAAATGTTAAAATACATTTAAAAAGATGAAGGTAGCTGAGGAACAAAACTCTACACGTGTCATTGGATTAACTGTTTTACCGTCACACTGCCCACGGTTTACATGTCGGTCCTGTGCAGCAGACGCACGAACAGTGTCACTCACCCCTCCCCTCACCCCTCCCCTCACTTTTTCCCTTCAGATCAACAATGATCTCATTAACAGCTTCTCTAAAATCCAACTGATGGAAATCTGTCGTCGTAACAGGGAATTTAAATCCCTGCCAGTTACTATTATTATTAATTAACACACAGATCACTCTGCCAATTATTGAATAGGTCAATCAAGTATCAGAAAACGGTGCCTGCTACAAACAAGAAGCTAACGCTCACAGATCTGATGAATGTCTGGTGTTTTGTTTCTGCTCCACTGCTGCTAAATATTGATATGAACCATTTTTTACCTTATGCAGCATGATAGCCACAAAAACAATGAGCTGAACGCTGGTCTGAGAGGTCGAGGCTGCAGCTCCAAGCGCCACTCCGTCAGCTGGAAGCAAAGATCACACATCAGGTCCTGATGATTATATTGTTTAAGAAATAACTGTGCTGGGTTGAAAACACTCAATAATCAGATTGGTGCTTAAATTTGAGTTAGTTGGTTAAGTAAACTTGGGAAAAGCAGAAAATGACCAAGAGCAGGTTTTAGAATGTTATAAAAAACAAGATTTTCGCACCCACAGTGAATTTGTTGAACTAGATCTAATGGTAGGAAAACAATTATTAATTTAGTTAAAATTAAGAAGCAGCGTCCCTTAATGAGATGAGTGAACCCAGACCCACCTGCAGCGTGGACCACAAGACCCAGGGTGGTGGTGATTTTTGATGAGTTGGCTCTCGCTGACTCTGGATCTAAACCAGTCAGAAAAGAATACAACATATATCAGATATTATAATCACACTTCAGAATCTCCACACAGAGTAGTGTGGTTTCATATGTTGCAGAGCGTTGGCAGCTGAAATAAAAGCACTGAAATGATTTGGCTCAGAGAGTGGGAGCATCCAGGGAAACTGAATTTGCAGTTGAGCTATGTGGGGGCGTTTTGGGTGTGATTCAACAAAATGATTATCAGAATATTAAACCAGGATGAGAAAAATGACCTTCGTCTTCCAAAACCACAGTCTCCACAAATCCTGGACCTGCCAACTGTTCAATTCTAACAAGAAAATCCTTAAGCTGCTTTAACCTTTGCATTTGTTCTCACCTTCAGTGTTGTGCACGTGAGAGCTGCCTATCTGATCCACCAGCAGCATGAAGACGAAGCCCAGAACCAGAGACACTCCGATGCAGGCGTGAAGCTGCTCGTGACCGTGTTCATGTTCGTGTTTCTCAATGACGCCGAGAGCTTCGACTTTAACCTTCGAGTCGGACACTTCCACATCCCTGACCTGGCTGGGACTTTGATGCCCACCTGCAGACACACAGGTGAGGAGTGAACAGACAAGAGGCAGATAAACTGTTAAATCTCAAATATTATATAACAGAGAGATTCAGATCTGTAATACTGCTCGTAACAGAAAACAGAAAACACATGTTGCATTTCTCCTTGACTCACTTAATATGCAAATGATCACAAAACAAACATTTGTGTTAGACAACGTCAACGGGTTGTATTTAATCTCTTGGATCTGTTTACATATGTTATATAAATATTATATACAGTATGTCTACGAGTATTTTATAACCTCATACTAATACTGGTTAAAGCCTCAGATGGCTCAATTCTTCTCGACATGAATTCCACATGATGTTGTTGAGATTCTGGTTCATGTTGACGTGACTTGCATCAAATCATTTTAACTTTATTCACATTATTTAATGAATTGCACTCCTGCCATGTGATCGGGTAATTGTGCTAATGCAAAGGTGTTCCTAATAAAGTGGTCAATGAGCATATAAGCACTTTTTCAGTCACATGCTCGACCAACAGGATGTGTACCATCAGATCATTTTAAACATTGGACTCTGCAGGTCAGGAACCTCAAACAGGCGCTGGAACAAGCAAAGTACAAACATTTACAAGATTGTAAAGAATTAAGAGACTAACAGACGTTCAAACTGAAATCTGGACACAAGTAGACGTCAGCAATAAAAACTATTATTAAAGCTTAAACTAGTTTAATGTCCGTATAGTTTATATTTAATAAATGTTCCTTTAACTTAGAAAGTTAATTCACTTTTTTCCCTCTCCTACAGGTTGAAAAGCCAGAAATTGCATGAAAAAGTTTCATGTCGAATTAACCAAATAAAACTTTAATATAAAATAAGAAGGAGCAAACGCTTTGACAACTGATAAAGCAAAAAAGGTTTCAGTGTCTCTGGTGTGCTGCATTCTGATCTATCACTGTTCAGTGATACAGAGTTCAGGGTTCGTCCACTGGATTTTAAATGCTCAAACTAAACAACGGACCTGAAGACATCACCTTGGGCTTTGTCAAACAAGAGAGTTTACAAACAACAGTTTTATAAAAATGAATTCTAATGTTTTTTTAGCCTTTTCAGTTCATCGTGGACGTTGATGTAGTTCTGCCAGAATTCTGATGTTTCACAAACTTAAAGGTTCAGTGTGTAAGATTTAAGTGAAATTAATCTATTGGCAGAAACTTTACATGAAATAATCCTAGTGATGTTTTCATTTGTTTGTTTCACCTTATTTAAACGAATTGTTGTTTTCTTCACTCTAGAATGAGCCGTTGATATTTAATTACTTTATATTTACATCAGGAGGTCCTCTCTACGGAGGCCGCCATGTTTTTTTACAGTAGCCCAGACTGGACAAACTAAACCTTTTGAGTTTTAATGAAACTGAATGTTTACACAGGTTCTCTCTCAAGTGGGGAGGGGGGGTTGGGTGAGGTGAGGACTATTCAGCTGCAACATGACACTTCACCACTAGATGTCACTACATTTTACACACTGAACATTTAACAAATGATCCAACATAGATCCTGAAAAGTCCTAAACATTAATGTTTGGATCAGACTTCATCACAACATTAATTCTCCTCTGCTACGACACTTATTGATCGTACAAATGTTGAGCGATAACTCATTTAAAGTCTTCTGCCTCTCAGGTCCCTCTAACAACGTGTGCACGATTAAAAAATACATTTCAAAGTGACAACACTGTGTTGGATGAACCGTACTTTCAAGGATTTCTTCATAAAGTGCGTGGACCCCTTCAGGGATGATCACAGCCAGTGCAGTCCCACAGAGGAGCCCAGCTCCCAGCACCGTGATCAGCTTCAGCTTCTCCTGCAGGAACACGCACAAACGAAACATCAGCACGAGACACATCGATTTACACTCGCACACTGATGGCTGATGACGACACACGGTTCATGAAGCGGAGGAGGTAAACTCGCTTCTTCACAAACACGGAATGCAGATGTTGATAAAGTTAGCTTCCAGGTGCAGGAAGCAGTGACACAGATGTTAGCTTGTTGAGGAACTTACCTCTGAAAAGTTGACGGCCAGAGGAATCGTCCCGGCCACGTAACATCCCACCAACATGGCCAGAGACAGCAGGCTGATCGAGCTGAAATCGTCCATGGCTGCTAGCTCCTTTTTTCTCTTGGGTCAATCTCCTGCCGAGCTAAACCATCAACCCTACACTGATACCACGTGTCGGTGGAGTTAGCATGCCCCTGCACGGCGGCTGCTGGTCAAACCACAGCTGTGAGCTCGTTTCTGCTTCCTACCAAAACATCCACGTTAGCTGAAACACAGACGGTGCAGCCTCCGGCCTCGGTTAGCAGCGCTAAGCTAACGCGCGTCGGTGACGCCCGGTGCTGTTTGAACGTCTCGACACGTGGATCCTCGAGAGCTCGAGACAACAGAACCGACCCGCGTCGCTTCGTCTGTGTTCAGGTGTCAGTTGTAATAAAACAACTCCCCCGACTTGGTTGGCAGCTAGCAGAGATGCTAACGGCACATCCGTGTTGTTAGATGCCGATTGTGGGAAGTGCTTCCGGGTCAGAGTTCATCCCGTCAGACTGCCACGTCTCCGGGGAGGAGCTTAATAGTTACGTCACATAGTTTTTTTATTATTACTTTCTTTTCTATTTTCCTAATTATTCCTCCACATGTCTGCTCACTTCTACTTTCTGTTCATCTCTTTTTTATTAAGTC